AGTTAATAAACTCAAAGTTGAGTATTCTAACTTTCATTCTTTTTTTGTGACATATAATGAACACAGAGAATATTTTGAAATTCAAGAAAATAAATCTTTAGATAAAACGTCGGTAAAGGGCAGACTTAAACAGAATATAAAATTTTGGGAAGAAATTGGGGCTAACAGTTTATATTAAAGAGGTAATTCAAAACGGATACATTATCCCTTTTATTCATACGCCAAAATCTATTTTTTTGAAAAACAACAGATCAGCCTTGGATAACATGCCTTTTGTTTTAGATTCAATCTCAGAATTACTAGAATCAGGCAGAATTTTAGAGTTTCCTTTCAAACCTTTAGTAGTCAACCCTTTTTCGGTTTCTATAAATCGTTCAGGTAAAAAGCGGCTCATATTAGACTTACGACATATAAATCAATATGTTTGGAAAGAAAGAATGCGTTTCGAGGATGTTACTCTAGCACTAGATTATATAGAAAAGGGAGGATTTATGTTTAAATTCGATTTAAAATCCGGTTACCATCATATAGATATTTCGGCAAAGCAACAAACTTTTTTGGGTTTCTCAGTTAAAGACAAAAACAAAACCAAATATTTTGTTTTTACCGTCTTACCCTTTGGTTTATGTTCAGCGGGTTTTATTTTCACAAAAGTTTTGCGGGAATTAATTAAATACTGGAGAACATATGGAATTAAAATTATCGTTTATTTAGACGACGGTTGGTCAATTAATTCTTCTTATGGAAAAGGGTTACAAATTCAAATTTTATACAAGTTCCCCGCAAATCGGGGTTTTTACCAAATGATAAAAAGTCTGTCTGGACCCCTGTTCAAAATTTGACATGGTTAGGGCATATTTTCAATCTCGAACGTGGTTATTTAAAAATAACAAAGGAGAGGGTAGATAACCTCAAACAGGAAATTACAAAATTGAAGAATAAGCCCAACAGAGTTACTTCCCGTTCTCTAGCAAAGATTGCTGGTATGCTGGCTTCCATGCATTTTGTATTAGGCGATCTAACACGCTTAATGACTAGGTTTATCTAATTTAAAGGACCCTGTCTAATGTTGTTGAAGCTTGGACCTAAAATGAAACGACATGGTCTTGCCAACATGGACAGACAATTCAAAGTCAATTAAGCAATCGATTATTAGTTCAATGCCATAGGAGGGAATTTCTTCAGAATCAAGTATACCTGAGTCACCAGCATATAACAATTTTAAGCGTATTGCTTATGATTGCAGACGTGTCATTGACATATATTAGAAATAAAAGAGGACCTAAAATGGACCCCTGGGGGACACCATAGGTACATCGGAGCAGTAGTAGAATTAGTACCAGCCACATCTGCCAGCTGCTGCCTATACGATTTGAACCATGTAAGAATGTTATAACCTATGCCAGATGCTTGAAGTTTCATGTACAGTATGGTGTGATTAAATGTATCAAATGCTTTTTGCGGATCATGCTTACAATATTGGTTCTTGTCCATTTCTAATTTAATAGAATATGTAAAATGAATCAAACATGTGTCAGTTGAAAAAACACCTCTTAACCCTGGCTACCACTGCCTGACCATGGCTCGAACCCAAGACCGCCATAACCCCTACCGCAGCTCTACTTACTGAGCTGTCCGGTCGCCTATTATTATCTCTTAAATAGTGAACAGCCAAATAGTTATAGAGGCTAGGAATCAGGCTACCCGGGTACAATTCCCGGACTGTGCAGGTCATTGATCATGAAATTATTACGATGGTTATTCGAAAGTGATAGCAACTACTACCAGAAAACTGCTTAAAGGCCTGTGCAGGAACGATACTATGGCTGAACTGTGCTTTTGCCGATTTAAAAAGATCTGGAGGTAACACTATCAACAAAATCATGACCATTGCTGTAAAGTTCATCAAAATATAACAAGTCTGAGAACAAGTTTTTTTAATGATCACATTTTAAGCCTATTTTTTGCCTTTGCAACCTACTTAAGCACCAAACTGAAAACATTGATACCACTTTGAGGACGACGTAACAATCATGTATGCATATTATGGTCAAAATCCATCAAGTGGTTTCAGAGTAGCTGTTGTTTTACGAAATTGTGGGCATGACAAAAGACCGAAACACTGTCATCACGAAACTCACTTTTGAGCACATTGTGCTACATTCAGCTAAAGCAACAAGTTTAATCTATTTAGAACAATTTGTTGTTTTATTCGTTATGTTTTTTTATTATTTTTTTTATTTTTTATTTTTTTGTGAAAAAGAAACAAAATTGCGGCTTTCATTCTTTAAATTCCTAACAACGTTTTCATACTTGCTATTGTTCTGAACCAATCAAAGTACTTTGTTCTCACTTTGACCTTCCTTTTTTACATTGGCCCTGTTTCCCTCGTATTTATTCTGTAATCCTATATTAGCAGTGTGATAAAATATATAGGCTAGAATTAGTATGGTACTGAGTACTCAACAATTTATAATGATTTTTTTCACAACTACTGCTTCAGGTGAAAACTCATTAAATTAAAGAAAATACTCATGACCAACAATTATGGTGTTACAAAACATATCTATTAAGATGTAGTCACTTCGAGTATATGAATTTGATATGGAAGTTTTTGACACAGAAAGTGACAACAATGCTAGTGGTATATAACATGGCTTTTAAATTGATTATATTTTCGGGGTTAAAAGCAAGGTTAGATTGCGTACAATATGTATTTGATATAGACTTCTGGACTCAGGAAATGAACATGAGAATAATAGGATTGGATCAAATAATGAATTGATGATTTTAGATCATCAGGTGCTGCAAAAGCTGGACTTTCAATTGTTATATGTTACTGGGATCCTTCGTACTTACCGGACAATCAGTTTACCGGACAAAATATATTCCTGTATAATAAGGCTTTATTTTTTGCTTCAATTAAAAAATCATCCGGTCTCAATCGTACACCCACTTTCTATTTCAAAGTAAATGACAACAAAACCACTCTTAGGTAAATATTGTTGATTCAGTTATTTATTTACATACATGCCCTTTTGTTTACTAGTTATTTCATGACCTGGTCATGTGTGGGAATAATCTGTTCTGTGCATGCCCGAATATTGAGGCCCTTAATGGGTTATTTTAGATAGGTTTTACTTTCATTTCTTCGCAACGTTATCTCAGGAGACAATCGTAACATATTTTAATGATAAAAAGTAATTTTAAATTAAGTTTAAACAGTATCTCGTTAATGTCTTTTTACGAAGAAATGCAAATTAAAAAAAACAAGAGGGCCATGATGGCCCTGAAGTCGCTCGCCTGTATATAGCCCCCCCCCCCATCCGGAGAGGGGCCAGTTTAAACACCAGGGCTTTTATTTGAACAAACTTGGTAGACACCCATAAGAAGATGTTTCATGCTAAACATTTAAGGTCTAGCTCGTTGGGTATTTTAAAAGAAGATTTTTTAAGTTTTTTCTTTACACATATATTTAAAAACAATGACACCCCTGGGGCAGGGCCAGTTTTGACCTAAGGGCATTTATTTGACCAAACCTGATAGACACCCATTAGAAGATGTTTCATGCTAAATATCTTAGCTCTAGCTCTTTGGGTTCTTTAAAAGAAGATTTTTTAAGGTTTCACTATATACATATAGGGTAAATCAATGACCCCCTGGGGCGGTGCCAATTTTGACCCCAGGGCTTTTATTTGAACAAACTTGGTAGACACTCACTAGAAGATGTTTCATGCCAAATATCTGAGCTCTAGCTCTTTGGGTTTTTTAGAAGAAGATATTTAAAGTTTTTTTCTTTTTGTTGCCATGGCAACCAGAGTTCTGCATGGAATTAAATTCTTTGAACAATTTTCAAAGGCGACCACCAAAGGAATATTCCTGTGAAGTTTGGATGAAATTGGCTTAGTGGTTTATGAGGAGATGTCATTTAAAGGAAAAGTTTACGGACGATGGACGACGGACAGACGGACGACGGACGGACGTCGGACGAAAGCGATCACAAAAGCTCACCCTGTCACAAAGTGACAGGTGAGCTAAAATTACATATAAGGAAATGGTTTACACCCATGGGAGGAAACTTTGCATGTAATGTAAATAAAATAGATTTTATGGCTTTTGCAACATGCAACATTATGACCAAGACAAAGAACATATTAATTCCATTTGAACATACGTTTAAGGATCATGAAGAATCAATATGTTAATTGAGTTAATAGCGTGACTTTCAACTACACTCCTATATTGGTCTCTTCGTAACAGGCATGGCTGCCGTGTCTATTTCTAGTGACATACTTGAGTTTTCCAATATCTTAAACTTGTCATTCAATAGTCGTAGTTTCCTTGCTGATTATTTAAATCACGAATTGACAATTTTTTGAAACACAATGTCCTGTAAATTGAGTTCACATTTCTACAGACAAATGTTTCATTTCATGTTTGATAAAGGAATGTTAACGTGTATTTTTAGAACCCAAAATTATTTGGGTAAAGTTCCATTCTTTTTTATTATTTTAAATAAATGTTACAGCGAAAAAGCATCATATCTTGTCCGGTAATATGTAGGATCCCAGTACGGTGTGAAGTACAAAGGAATATGTGAAGTAATATCAGTGTTTTTTTTCTTTATATAACTACTACCCTAAAACGGTACTGTTCCCAATAGAAAATAAACATTAAAATTCCCAATTTTAAATGTTTAATTTCCCAAAATTACTGTTCAAAATTCCCACCAGGTCAAGTGATTTAATCATTTAAATCCAACATATTCATATAAATCACCACTAAATAGTTCTACCTGGGCAGTGGAAGCTGTTAGCTGTCTTTATGCATGATGACTAATCTTATTTGTAGCTGAAAAAAATGCATAAAAAAATCCCAATTGAATTCAAAATAACACATTTTTTCCAATCAGTCTGGTACTTGCACCATTCCCAAAGTAGAGAAAAAAAACCGCTGAATATATATGGAAAACAAATAAAGTCATGATTAATATCACTTACTTTGTTTATATTCAATATATTGTTCTTCTTTTTCGTCTTTACTTGCTATTTTCAGTGCTTTTTGTAACGTCTCTCCTAATCCAGCCAGATCTGCTCGTTCTTTATCTCCTTGTTCATGAATTTGCCCAACTTCTTTGTCCCGTTCTTCTTGCAGTCTTTGAACAGAATCATTAGCTGTATCTTTTAATTGTGTCACTCCCTCGGCGATTTCTGACTGAAGAGATAGAAGATCTTCCTGTTTCCTTTTTATCATATCTAGTTTAATTCTGTCATAATGCTCATCTAATCCAGCCTTCATCTTGTCTTGAACTGCCTTTGCCACATCGTCTAGTACTTTTCTTATATCATCTTTACCAATGACTAAAGTGTCATTTTCTAACTGTAATTATAAATACATTACAAATATAGAATATAAATAAATTAAACAATGGTTAATAAAAAAAGAAAATATAAAATAAATAAATAAATAAAATAATTAAAAAAATGAATATTAAAATAATATCAGTCATTTATTAAGTGAACATTTTAAAGAAATATTCTTTATTGAATAAATACATCTAAACCTCATTGCGTGATGGATTGACATAAACCCCCTACTACAGAAATATTGTACAAAATGTTTCTACAACTATTCTTCCAAATACATTTATACAAAACGTGTGTGTATATTTCCTTACGACTCATTGCAAAGCGGTTAAAAACAGCATATTATTTCTTTTCTTTGTCACGTAATAATCACACAGGCATAACTATGTTATCATTTACGTTTTATCCGTGTTTTTAAAACTTGCCTTTGACCTTATTTACATACACAAGTTTCTAAAATTAGTATAAATCTTCAGTCTCAAATGATTTTGCACCTTGTATTTTTATTTGAATATTCAGACAATTATTATTATTATTATTATCATTATTATCATTATTATTTATTATTATTATTATCATTATTATTATTATTATTATCATTATTATTATTATTATTATTATTATTATTATTATTATTATTATTATTATTATTATTATTATTATTATGCATAGAATTGAATGAATCGCCAACTACGCATCTTTCGTAGCGCATTTATTATCTAAAGTGCATTTATAAAAGAAAACCTTGTTTGAATATTTCCTTATTGGTCATTTCAAAACTGTTAATATTTAATAACAACAAACTATTGCAGTTTTTTTTTCCGGAATATGTTATTATTTTTGCGTTCAATACTTATTATGTTCAGTAAATAATACTCTCCTGCACATCGGTCGAATGTTCCACTATCGCCCACTTTCTGAAGTAGCGTGAGTGCATTCAGTAAGCTGCGAAGGGAGCGTAAGTAAATAACAGAGACATTCTGGATAACATCACTTCTGATAATCGACAATAAAGTAAACGGTACTATTCTTTTATGGAAACAGCATGATTTGTTTAAAAATGAAAAGTAATTAATTTGACTTATACGCTTTTACTTACATTACACTAATTTACAATCATTCGAAATATACTAGTTATACGATGAAATGTTTTGCATATTAACAATAATCCAATAAAGTTTAGCTAGGATCATGCGTATTAACAATCATCCAATCAAGTTTAGCTAGGATCATGTGTATTAACAATCATTCAATCAAGTTTAGCTAGGATCATGTGTATTAACCATTATTCAATCAAATTTAGCTAGGATCATGTGTATTAACCATTATCCAATCAAGTTTAGCTAGGATCATGTGTATAAACAGTCATTCAATCAAGTTAAGCTAGGATCATGTGTATTAACAATCATCCAATCAAGTTTAGCTAGGATCATGTGTATTATACGTAAAAGATACGAACGTTATATTCTTGCATTTGTTTTTCTTTTTTTTCTTTCCTAGTACAAAATGTTTTCTAGTAATGGGTGACTGTTATAGTTTTGACTTTGTTTGTTTTGACTTTGTTAATTGCAGATTAAAATAATGCACTTAAGAAAGTACTTGTGTTTTTTTTTTGATAGTTATTAATAAAATAAATTGTATGAATGTTCAGTGTGTATAATATATTTTAAAACTAAGATCGCCATTCATTTCTTCTACATGTTATATTTTCTTCGATTGATATGATTACATTCAGATGTTCTAATTGAAAAAAGGTATTAAAAATCAGTAAGTGCCTCATTCTGTTAAGCTTCTGTAAATAAAGTTGTTGTTATTATTAAAAGTATAGTATAGTGTTATTATGATTAGTAGTAGTAGTGGTGGTAGAGGTGGTAGTGGAAGTGATAGTGGTAGTAGTAGTAGTAGTTGTTTAAGTAAATTAGAAGTAGTGTAAGTAGCAGTAGTAAGTAGCAGTAGTAATTATGGTTGAAGTATAAGTACTTAGGAGTAGTAAGTAGCAGTTGTTATTGCAGTAGTAGTAAATTGTAGTACAAGTAGAAATAGTAGTAAGTAGCAGTAGAAAGTAGTAGTAGTGGTGGTGGTGGTGGTGGTGATGGTAGTGGTACCGGTAGCCGTAGTGGTAGCAGTAGCGGCGGCGGAGGCGGCGGTGGTGGTGGTAGTGGTTGTGGAAGTGGTGGTGGTGGTGTAGTGGTAGTAGTAGTAGTAGTAGTAGTAGTAGTAGTGGTAGTAGTAGTGGTAGAAGTAGTGGTGGTAGTAGTAGTAGTAGTAGTAGTAGTAGTAGTAGTAGTAGTAGTAGTAGTAGTAGTAGTAGTAGTAGTGGTAGTAGTAGTGGTAGTAGTAAATTGTAGTAGAAGCAGCAGCAGCAGCGGTGGTGGTAGTTGTGGTGGTACTGATATTGGTGGTGGTGGTAGTGGTAGTAGTAGTGGTAGTAGTAGTGGTATAAATAGTGGCCGTAGTAGAAGTAGTGGCGGTAGTAGTAGTGGTGAAAGTGGTGGTGGTAGTAGTGGTAATGGTGGTAATCGTTATTGTGGTGTAGTAGTAGTAGTTTTAAGATGTTTACCTCTATCAGTTTCTTTTTAGCATTCTGCGCATGTGTGTCTGTAGCTAAAAAAACGTGATCAGAAAGTAGTTTCTGTAATAGTTTGAAGTAATTCTGAAGATCTGTATCCTCTACTTCCAGTGTTGAAGAATGTCGCACTTTTCTTCCAATATCTCTTGCCTGGTTAAAATTGAATAAGAATTGATATTTACTTTTACCTAAAACCTATAGGTTGAGTATAAAATAAAATTTTTACTGAGAAACTGTTACGTAATACATGTAGTAAAAACTAGAAATGTGTCCATAGGACACGGATGCCCCCACATGCAACTGTTCTGTCAATCTTATGACTCTAGGTCAAATATTTATTTTTTAGACTACATGTGCCACAAGTTGAAAACTAAAAATCAACAAAGGGCCATAATTCTGTAAAATTTGGTCACAGCAAAAATTCCTTCCTTTACTACCATCTACACATTAAGGTTGTTCGTCCCTGGAAGTTTAAGCAAAATCTGCCATCCGGTTTAAGAGGAGTTGCGTTCACAAAATTTCTTTATGGTATATAGTGAAAAAATCAACAAAGGGCCATAATTCTGTTAAATTTGGTCGCAGCAAAAATTCCTTCCTTTACTACCATCTACACATTAAGGTTGTTCTTCCCTGTAAGTTTAAGCAAATTCTGCCATCTGGTTTATGAGGAGTTGCGTTCACAAAATTTCTACATAGTATATAGTGAAAAAATCAACAAAGGGCCATAATTTCTGTTAAATTTGGTCGCAGCGAAAATTCCTTCCTTTACTACCATCTACACATTAAGGTTGTTCATCCCTGTAAGTTTAAGCAAAATCTGCCATCCGGTTTAAGAGGAGTTGCGTTCACAAGATTTCGGGACGTACGGACGGAAGGACGTACGGACGGACAGACGGACGGACAAGTGCAACGCTATATGCTCCCACTTTGTGGGGGCATAAAAATACTAACTAGATATATAATGAATTACAAGCGCGATAAGAGCTGTGTTGAGCTTAAATGTTTGGTCTGCTAGGAGAGTGGTCTGCTGTCTGCTAGGGCAGTGGTCTGCTGGGGGTGTGGTCTGCTATGAGAGTGGTTTGATGGAGGAGTGGTCTGCTAGAGGTGTGGTCTGCTGGTTGCATTCACCACTGCCCTCTGCAAAGGGTAACTGTCATATTATACCGGGAGTATTAAACATTTTGTACTCTTACGCACCAGTATCCCTTTTTAATACAATTATGATATCACAATCGATATAAAAAATGTTTCAACGACAGCTGTCACAGGAGACAGCGAAGCTCGACTAATTAAATTCGGGACACAGGAAGGAAGACAAAACTATGAAAGAAAAATCAATTATGAAAGAAATATAATTCTTCTTATGAGAAGAAGTTAATATAAACATAAATTCCAAGTTCAAAGGGATAAATTGATAGAAATTGTCACAATAGAAATATGGACCTTGTCACACAACATGTGTATAATGATAAGAAATATATATATATTTGAAGTTTGAAGTAGATACCTTAAAAAGTAAATAAGTAATATTTATTAAAGACATTTCTAAGTTCAAATGGAGATCAATCTGAATATATTGCTTCAAGAGTTATGGACCTTGTCACAGAAGCTATGGTTGATAATTAGGAATTTGTATATAAAGTTTGAGGTAGATTCCTTAAAAACTAAACAAGTTATAGTAAAAAAATAACATTTTTCAAGTAAAAATATCTAAGTCAACAAGGAGATAATTCTTACAATATTGGTACTAAAGTTATAAACCTTATAACATAAGATGTGGTTAATGATAAGGAACATATACTTGAAGTATGAAGTTGATCCCTTGAGAAATAAAGAAATAACAGTTAAAAAATAATATTTTTAAGGAAAATTCTAAGTTCAAGGGGAGATAAATCTCAAATATTTGTGCTAAAGTTATAGACCTTATCACATAAGATGTGATTGATAATAAGGAACATATATTCGAAGTATGAAGTTGATCTTTGAGGTAATAAAGAAGTTACAGTAAAATATTTTACTGCACCAAAACTTTAATCTGAAATCTGGACGCGGACGCCAAGGCGAGTAGGACAGCTCTCCATTTACTTCGTATAGTCGAGCTAAAAATGGACGCTTCGTGAAAAAATACTGAGGAATGCCGGACTGGTTGCTTACAAGGAATTGTCTAACAAAAAAGAGAAAATGCATTGGGTCATAATTTACCCAAAAATAATCAATATTCACAAAGGCTTAGATGAATTTGGTTTAATCCACATGACCAGATAAGGAGTTGATGCCTACTTAAGATCATTTCTCTATATTCCGCACATAAGTTTGGGGTAAAAAGTCATTATTCCGCCCTATATATTTTCTTATCACGAAACCATCTCAATATGTTTCTAGACATTTGTTGGTAATACTTCTGTTAAATTAAGTTTGAAATTTCTAAGAAAGTAAAACTTTCATAAAAAATACAGACGTTGCGAGCAGAATAAATTCTTTACAAATCCTTCTTACCGACAATCACCTATGTAACAATGTGCTTTATTTTCAGAAAACATTCCAACAATGTAAGTGTATTATATATATAATACAATATAGTTGTATTTTTCTTAAGATCACTGAAATATATTATCGTTTTGTTAAAAGGACCAAACGCAAGTCTTCTTAAATAATATCTAAATATTGTTTACCTCCTCAAACATATTCGTCTTATTATTGAGGTTATCATGTAGTTTCCCTTGGAAGTGTTTGTAATTGAGAATAACGCTGATTATACCATTGAAGTCTGTTTCTGCAGCAGATGCTTTATCTTTATACCCATCTGGAGGCATGAAGCATTTCGCCACTTCCCAGAAATTACTACACCACTGTGTAGCATCAGTGTTTTTGTACGACGGACCATTGTACCTATGTACATTCTGTATCTCAGTTGTGAAATTATGACATATCTTGTTAGGGCAGCCAGCAGGAGTATACCTTGTCGCAGCATTTCGATGATAACTGCATCTTCCACGTCCAACATTACATATTCTATTTGTTGGACATTTTATTACATTTTCCGTGCAGCATCTTGAACACAAAGTCCCACTAAATAGTCCACTGTTGTAACATATATCATCTAAGCATTTCAACTGAAATTGTTTGATTTCATGGCAAACAAAAGGTTCAATACCTTCTTTAGTAAACAGCACTGCTAACTGCGCTTTAACCCAGTTATTGTATTTCTTGTCTAAAAGTTTAGGGCTATAAGAAGCCATTACTTGCAAACTTTGTGTCTTTCCAACTTAAAGAATTATATACACTGGTGTGTCTTGAAGGCTAAGCTCCGTGGTAAACCTGAAAAAAAAAATAATTATGTAAAATGCCATAGTATATTATTACATTCACTATCATTTAAAGATGTAATGCATAATTTGGAAATAAATGCAATTGTTTTCAACTCTTTAAGATAATAGTGATTGTTTCTACAGAAGTACACATGCAACAATTCAATGCCTGAAAATATAAATAAGATCAATTTAGGCCCTTACAATATAGGCATATATGTTTAACTTTGAATTCCAGATATTCTGAAATTCATACAGCTTTATAATATTAACGCAAATCTTATTTCCCTGTTTTCTGTAGCTTCAAATTTGTGTTTAACGACAACATCATTTACTAGTACTATTACATTTTTAAGGAATATAACTGTTTAACGAGTACTGTCTTATCTAACCATGAATTAATCTGATTTGATCAAAGTAGCTTTATCAAACATATTTTCACTGGTATAAATTATATGCTACAGCTAGAATTCGATGTTCCTTTCATTATCTGTTTACATCAATACTGACATATAGGGGTGTCGACAATTTTTTATATATAAAGTGTACTTTTTACCGCCTAAATCTTAAACTACCTTATCAATTACTGATAATTATAATGCGTTTAGCATAATAGCAAAGTGGTGGATATTCGCTCTTGAGTGTATAGCCCTGACCAGTTCGAAATCGGGTAAAGGTTTTTTTCTTTTCTTTAAGTTTTTCTTTTTAGTTGTTGTTTTTTAAACGAACTGAATTTTTGATCCCCTAGAATCATATTCAGACAATGATATTTGAGAACATTTAGTTATACACACATTCACCTTTAACAGGTTACGTATTTGACAAGACAGCACAGTCGTGATTAGGGTGAAAAATGAACAATGGAAGAAAACATATCGGTACAAATTAATGAGCCGAAACTGTAAAAAATGTGACGAATGGAATTCAGTGTTTCAAACATAATATAATTGATAATACTATTCAATCTGTTCAATGTCAATTAAAATTAAGATACATTTAATTTTGCTTAACCGCCATAAGTTTAAATTGTTCAAAACATTATAAAAAGACCAAATGAAAAGTTACGTGACACACAGTAAAAATGTATTTTGAAAGTAAACACGTGCATTATTGCAGATTTGAACTCGAACTCAAACAACCATGTTTCATTATAACCCGAGATCTTCATTAAATAAACTCTTTAACCACTACGCTAATCGAATTTACATGTCCTCATTCACATTTGTTCTTGTATTTTGCAATAAAAAATAAATTGTAATAATTGGAGAACTTGAACCATCCATTATATCATTATGGTACGACCGATTAATGTCAGACTTATAAAATAAGCCAATAAGAACGTCAGTGAAGGTATCATATTTCACAATAAAGACTTTATTTCAATGCACCTATGATCATTTTAAATGGATTGTCAATTCAAATATGATCGAGAATGGGAAACATTTAATTTAAGATACACGTGAGTTGCAGGAATAGGTTTACGAAAACCCACTAACAGTTGAATGAATGTTTAATGGCCTGTTTGTGTAGTAGTTATGGTGTTGTTTTGCATGCAGAAGGTCCTAAGTTCAGTTATTTTCATTTTTTTTAACCTTTTGATTTTTGTTACATATTTTGTCCATGTACTTTATTCGCGAGAATGCTGTAGCATATATAGTAAGTTACAATTCAATTACAATGTATTCGCCCTATGTGGCACTCTCAGTTGCGCTGGCACTGGCCAATTCGTTTCCGGTGCAAAGCGAGAACTTCAATTGGTCATTACCACGGAGAAAAGAATGGCGAGATTTGAACCAAGAGGCTAAATCAAAAGTTAATCCCTAATCTCCCAGAACATAACTTGTCGTTGTGATACATAACATACTATTTGCGATGAAAAGTTTCCAGCGAAATCAAGTACAACAAGAGCAACGCTTAGGCGTAACAATATACGCCTGTATGCAAATTTGTTTTAAATGTGTTATTATTTTCTCCCTTGATTTAAAGATTT